GATATTATATGTGTGTTGTATTACTTAATTAAAATCTATGGGTAAAAAGGATGTGCGAATAAAGAACGATATAACGCGATTTCGATTGTCTTTTACGTAGGTAGAATAAAATACGAATAGGAAGAGACTGCTGGACGGTACGGTAGGAAATTCTCCGAAAAATTGATCGACTAGTCATTTGACATTTGTTTCAAGTGAATTATATCGGGAATATTCGCGACTAGATTCGATATTATACTAGAAACCCATACACGTGTAGAATTGAAATTTGTTGAAAAAGTAATTGGGTCATGTCATACTATGTCGCTGAGATTCATAGATCATGTTACGTTTTTCCCAAGTTAATCACTTCAATAATATACAGCGGTTGAACGAAATAAAACATTTTACCGAACCGTAGAGCTAACATTTTTCATCTAAAAGCTAGGTTCCACGAACGTGGCACTTTATATCATTGCTCTCTGTACGAGTGGGTTATAGGTTCTTTGACAAATTAATGTGCAGGAAGAATATTGTGGCGGATGGAAGATTGAGCCACAAAGAACTTCCCTCGTCTCTATTGTGTCGAATAGGAAATTTTCTGCTTTGTTCTTTTCTACAAAAATTAGGTTTTCTCTGATTCAAGGAATTTTAATGGAATTTACCTGTAATGAAATAGTCGGCGAATAGTACGTGAAAGGGTGAAGGCTATTCTCAAAGGCGGAACGAGAAGTGCTGATTTTTTTTTTTCTTTCAGAATACCCTGGGAAATAGGGAATTTAAAAACAATTTTCATGTTTTAAATTGCATATTATCGAACGTAGATTTAAGTCGTTCTGAAGCCTTAACAAATTTTGTTCAAATAATAATTCTTAGTAATTTCTTTTACCGAGTAATCCATTCGCGCGGAAATTTGTGTATGCGAGCTACGAACGAAAATAGGAAATACGTGTTTTTCGCATTTTTTTCATCCAATAACGAAACTTCGATGAAAATAGTAATCGTAACGTCCGATAAAAATATGCGTCTTTATTTCTAAAATAAATAACGATACTTATACGGAAGAAACAGATGTAAATTATCAGGTAACGACTTTTGGATGAAGCTGTACGTGGCTGTGAGATTTCTGAAGATCCCACCGTTTTATTATACTCTTTATTACACGAGCTTCGCAGCACGATTTCATTTTCCTTCGCTACCCGTAAATTCTCCAACGATCCTTCGACCGCTTAAAAAATACTATAATCCCCACGAGGGGATAATCCGTGTGATTTATCGTGGCGGATAAATTTTTTTATTGATCACGACAAGTGCAAGAATGCCGAGAACTAAATGACCTACTGTAAGACGAGTTGGAATATTCGCGATGGGAAAATTCTAAGAGCAAGGTATCCCATTTGTCACTTATCTAGCTCTAAGCAAATCATTCAGAAATATGGAAAGTTCAGTGCACGAATATTCCGAAGATGAGATTTATCAATTCCAGTTCATCGATGTAAGGCCAGTTTTATCAATTTCCAATAGCACAAGCGTTCGTACTTTGATGTCTGCGAAAGAGACGACAAATTTTTTAAAAATGATTCCGTACAAAGCTTAAGATCAGTTCTATGAAAACTTTATTCTTTAGTCACTTAGTAACTCGTTAAAGTATATGTACGAGTATAATACGTATAAATAACGCTGGAGTCCTGTTTCGTCGAGTAGAGTTTCTTCGAGAATCAAGTTGACCTACTATGCTTATCCGTCTCTGCCGAATGAATTATTCAGAAATGTGGAAAACCCGGTACGTATGTAAATATTTTGAAAATCTGCAGATTTAAGACCAGTTTTGTCGACGCTTAATAACACCAGCCTTTCTTCGACGTCTGTTTCTGAAAAATTTCTGAAAAGAAAAATCCCCTACAAAACTTAAGACCAGTCTTTGCCAAAGAACAAACTTCATTCACTGAACTCTTAACAACTCGTTAAAGTATACGTATAAGTACGCGAACGTTGAAATTGCGCCTCCAAGGTTCGAAGAATTAAGCGTACCACATAGACACACATAGGCTAGTGGAAATACTCGCGATGGGGAATTCTAAACGCAAAGAATCCCTCTGTCACTTATCCACTTCTGTTCAACCGTTTCTACTATTTCTCTCACGAAACTCTCGGATATCTAGATTTATCGTGATAGCGTTAGGAATACTCGGGTGAAAGGTGCCACCCTCTCACGGTGGTTTACTTGCGAACAACCAGTCATCCGGACGATTATTCGAATAAATCTATGTACAAACGAGGATCAGAAATTCCTCTACATTACGGACAAGGTAGGAATATAATTATCCTTCGTGCAGATAAAATTTCATTTAGGCGATTTTATTTGAATTGAAACAATCTCTTTAGCGACCAATTTAAAATTGAATTAGTTTAATGGCTTGCTACGTGCGAACGAATTTATCAAAGTTTCGAAAGGATCGTTATTTTCTATTTTAATCCGACAACAATGTACCATGCAAATGGACATTCGTTTGTTTAAATGAACTATTCGAAGGATTGATTTCACGCATTCACGAATATTTATTGTATATTGCATGGGCGTATTGTATTGTATAGTATATTGTGTATGTTTTCGTATTTATAGAAACAGTTGCTTCCTTTCGCTGCCTATCTTGTGTTTCGCGCCGTATCGCATTAAAAACGTAAGATATGGTATTAGACTGGCGAAAAGATATATTGTTATTTATTTGTGATGCACGCCTCCGTGATTACATCCCCATTCGCAATATCTTATCTCACATGTTAACGTAAGTAACACGAAACTTATCTTCCTATGCTTATAATCTCGCTAAGTTGGAATTAAAACTAAAAGTAAACTCAGTCTGTTGCTCAGCCTCGAGTCAATTTGAACTTAAATATATCAAACACGAATGTATATTAAATCTGCTCTTTTTGCTACGTAATATTCTGACGTATCCTCGTGGCACGCGTCTTTGCCATTGTTCGAAACGAATCCCATAGTTTCCAATTAATTAGTACGTACCCGAAGCTACTACGATCAGACGATTAAATAATCGAATAATTAAGACTGTGATCCATCTGTAAGCCTTCGTTCTCAGCCTCCTTTACTGTTTTTCTTTTCTTTCCTTTCCTTCTCCTGCTGCCAATTTCTCCGCTGTATTAAAAGCATTTATTATTACACAGCCAAGAAGGAATTCCATTAAAAAGACAACCGCGTGCGTTCTCGATTTGTCATATAAAAATTGCACGCTACGGCTCAAACGATGATTATTCCAGGCGAATCCTCTCGTCCGTTCTTAGAATTACCCGTTGCATTCAAAGTTGATCGCGCGTGCCGCAACCCTTAGGCCATCCTCACACAGAATCAAACGGATGAATGGAATGGAACGATCGCGGTTCACCGCACGAGTGTCGATCGATCCTGTCGCGAATGGAATGGCAGTGGGGTCGGTGCAACCGTCGTAGAAATCGAAACGTTGGTCGCTTCGCGGAGTTTCCGCTTTTGCTTGCGGATATGGCTCGGTCGGGGAAGAAGTTGACCGGTTGTTCGTTTTGCTTTTCGCGTTAGAGGTTCTTCACCTCTGTCTGTTCTGCGAGTTTTCCTCGTTGCGAGTAAAATAACAAAGGAAACGATTTTACTATTTTTTATTTATACAGAAAAATCGTCTCGGTGGATTTTCAAAAATTGGCACTGTTTTCGGGTAATGACGAGATTACGAACAATTGTTACTATTTGTTTAATTTCGGCCTGCGAATGGATTTCGCTTGCAATTCTTCTCATTCGTCTTAGAAAAGAAATAAAATTATATATAGCTGTTTATTTTCGTCTGAATCAATTCTAATTGTCTACGTAATAATACGTTTATTATCGTAGCTCTTTAAAAGTCGATAATATTCATATATGATGCAAAGAATAAAAACGTGATTGTAATCGTGTAAATTTGCTTCGTGTGAACGTGGCTTAACGTAGCTTTCATCTTGCCCTGAAATGCTTTCCATGGTCGAGGAAATGCACGAATGAATTTCTCATCAGGGAAGTTAAACGTCGCGCTGAAAAGATTCCAAAGGTAAACACGAAAGAATACGAAGAATTGTTACCAGTTCAAACGGATTTTTTTCCCAGGTCAGGATAGAAGAAAAAAGGTGACACGTTTGTATCAGCGATAAGTAGCGAAACGATTTCATGCTTTCTTAGAAATAAGAAACTCAACGTTTAGAAATATATTACGAAAGCGTTCGATCGGTCGCCATTTACCCTGTTAATCTTCCATAGTTGTATCTTTATCTCTGTTGATTGCGATTGATCATCCAACCAATAATTTCCCATTCTGATCGAAGAATTTTGTCGTTACTATAGCGAGAAGTATCATCAGTTGACTCAATCGATCGATCAAATATATTCCCCCTTTCCTCGCACTTTTGCAAATTTCTCATAGTAAACTACATATAGCGATTTACTTTTGTCAGGCCATGTTAATTATAATTAGACTGCGGACTTTCGTACGTTTGCAGGAAATTTGAAAATGCCAAATTGCACAGAATGCGTGCAATACGTTCAAAGAAATGTTCTACAATACAAACAAATTTTCTACAATACTCTGTAATATTTAAATAAAACGATTTCCTACCTAGAAAAATATAACTTTGTGTAAAAACCCGCAAATTTAGTTGTAATCGTCCGTATCGATGACATCTAATTAACAATACCTTTCTTCTGCCATGTACGAGGAAAGGTCTACGCTCTCCGACATCGGTATAACAATGTCAAATAATTAGACGATTAATACGACGAATTCTTCGATCCACAAACTAACAAACCACAAAACCGTAAACGATGAAGCATCTTTAATCCTCGTCGTAAACCTCGCAACACCACTTGCTCTCCTTAACATTTTGCTGTCTTTAACATCTGTCGGCTTCCTAACTTTCCCAGCCCAGACAAAACGCAGAGTAAAGAACACGTGCACTTCGTTGCGAACGAAGTGGACCAGGTATAACACCAGTGTTGGTAATTGTTCCAGGACCTGATGACGAAGAACAAGCAGCGGAATTGGCGACGATTGCTGGCCGCTTGCTTGGTCGGCGTGGTCGTGCTCGGCTTAGTCGTCGCGGCGACGATTCTTCTAACCGGAAGCCCGGATTCCTCCGGCTCGAG